TCATAATATACTAAATATGCCCCACAAAACAATTTACATGCCTGCCATTACGTAAAATGTTTGAACTGAATAGAAGTTACTGTATTCACAGAACACAGACTTTGTGACTTGAATGCAGTTCCCTGAGCCTGCAACTCAAAGTTTTGAAGAACAGATGACTCATTCTCGATCAGACGGTAACGAAATGACAGTAATCTCATTTGCACATGTTTAACTCCTTGATGCAATGTAGTTCTTGAAGAGTGTTATTCAACAAGCCACGGAATTACGTGCTTTTATGAAAGACCGCCATGGGGCCCACTCCTGGGTCCCGTGAAATAAATCCAGATCCACACGTCGTAGTACTTTTTGAAGATTTATTTTAAAGATAGCCTTCACTGCATGCCTTGTTCTCGCGAAAGATATTCTCCATTGTGGGATTCCGACGTGGACCCTGCGAATGTCTCATTTCCACCATTCCCACTGCATGTTCCCCGCATATCACCCTTCACATATTCATCATAAGAATACGGGGCACTGTGCTACAAGCCGGAAGGTCACGGGATCGAATCCCAATGAAGTCATTGGATTTTTCAATGAACGTATTCCTTCCAGACGCACTATGACCCTGGAGTCGACTAAGCCTCTAACAGAAAAGAGTACCAGGAATTTTCCTGAGTGGTAAAGGCGTAGGACTGACAATTTTACCGCCATCTGTGAGCCAACTGGCTAGAAGAAGTGGGAGCCTCGACGTCTCACAACCCTATGGGCGGAGTCCAACTGGGTCCACTCGGCACGACCTCCACTGTTTGGCCTATTGTAGCCTGCCCCGGGTGATTATGATGATGGAGAATTTGGTGGAATGAAGATTGGCAGGGGAAACCGAAGTAGTCAGAGGAAACCCGCTCCATCGCCACTTTGTCCACCACAAATCCCACTTGAGCAGACCCGGGATCGACCCCGGGCCGCCGGGGTGTGAAGCCAGCGACTAACCGCTTGAGCTATGGCGCGGCCTGGCTGTTGCAGTTAGTCTGTCAGAGAGGATTTGGTCATTGATTGAAGACTTAGTCAGTTAGGAGTGAGTCAGTGAGTTAGTTAAATGACCTCTGGAGGTCAGTTATAGCTTTTGCTTTGAGAAGCTGGTTTCTGAGGCAGAGGGAATTTTGGGAGCTCAGAGGAAGCGGAACGTCCGCCGTTGGAAGCCTTTACCAAGAAACGGCAGTGAAGACGTGATTGCTGACACTAGAGTGTAGTCTCGCACTCTATCAAAGAGTCCAATAAATCCGGTCGTCAATCCAAAACCCCTCTACAGTCACACTATCAGGTGACAATATTATTTATATTGTACTCCAAGAAATAGTAGTACTGTACACATTGTGCATAAAAGATACAACACATAGAGGCAAAGTACAGACCCCTCGCAACTGCCGCTTGAATCTGTTCTGTTCTCCATTACGTAACTCCATAGCTTACCTACCTCGTGCACGATATAAAGTTACCGTAGTCAAGTAGTAGATCAGAATGTGTCTGTGTAAAGCTTCACTGGATGAAATCGAGTAGTAAGCTTGGCGCGCTGGTCGAGTAATTCACGCAGATTGAACCACTCGGAACCCGCTAGATAAGAGGCTGCGCGGGCACCAGTCGCGGCCTGGACGCGATGAGGAACCGGAAGCCGAACGCCTGTTGTCCAATCCTTAGTCTCTTTTTTGTCTGTGCTATCCCGGTTCAGGCAACACACATTGTTTCGAAAGGAAGCCCGTATGCCAGATGTGTAAATCCAAAGAGACTGAACACTGATCAGGGGCACGCGGTAGCGTAGTTGGTTGAGCCACTATGCCACAAGCTGGAAGATCGCGGGTTCGAGTCCCGATGAGGTGGATTTTTCATTTACCTAACCCTTCCAGCCGCACTATGGCCCTAGGGTCGACTCGGCCTCTAACAAATGAGTACCAGGAATATTCCCGGGGGGTAAAGGGCGGCAGGCGCGTAAAGCTGACAACCATACCGCCATCTGTTAGTTGACTGTCTAGAAAATTTGGGAGCCTCGAAGTCTCACAACCCTACGGGTCTTGACGACCTGTTACAGGGATGACTTTTATCTGAACTCTGATCGCATCGAGAATCGGTGGAAATGGCTTGGGTTGGTTTTTCCGTCCGGCTTTGATACGCATTGTTCCATTTTTAACATTTAAAGCGACTGTCACCAGAATTTCCAGGGCAGATAACACTAAGTGAAGTATCATTTTCGGAACAAGCGTTGAATTTAAAACGCGGGTTTTTTTTAACAACTCAAGGTGCATGCATGATCCTAGCGTGTCCAGCCGGCCCGGTGTACATATAATTATAGATTGCAGGATGAACAGCGTCTCGGTTTTATCTGTTTGTAACAAGTGTTATAATGCTGTGTGGTTTGACCTTCACATAGAATAATTAATTTACTAAGCTGAAATATCAGATTAAAGAGGATTACGATCATTACAATTACTGATTTGCATACCGAGAGTATTAGAAGTTGGACCTGTTTATAGGCCTACGTGTTGAAGAAAGCGCTGCTGTCACCGTCCTGACAGGTACTTATCGTCTTCTGCGGGAAACTTGTTAACACTGGGAGGTACAAGTGAGAATTCCAAAGGAGGTTCTTAATGCCATTACTACTGGCAGTCTAAAGAAAATATTTGACGTACGAGAGAAGTAGCAGGAGAATGAAGAAAAGTACATAATGAGGAAATATGTGCTCTTCGCCGGATTTTATTGGGGTGACCAAATCTAGGAAGCTAAGTTGGACGGGGCATGTAATTCACATTGCTGAAGTGAAACGAAACGTGAACGTAAGGAACCACAAGTGAGACGTAGGTAGATATGGCTGGGTCTTAAAGAAATAGAGGTCAGTGATGGGATCTTGAGGACCATAAAAATTGTCCCTGTGCTTAACTAATTAAGCACTACGCCATGAAGGCGTATGGGGAGTGGATGTATAGATCCACATTTTCTTGACCTCTGCACTAACTGGAGGTGAATGGTCAGCTTCACGCACCCGCCGCTTTACCCCCGGGGAAAGAGCCCACGGTACGGATTGGATAGGAGACTGTGTGGGTCCCAGAGCCGGTCTGGACGACGCGGAGAATTTCTTGAACGTACCTGGTTTCGAACTCCGACCTCTGGGTCGTCCAACCCCGTAGCCATTCGCTATACCGACTACGATATCCATGTTCCTCTTGAGGACTATTAGATCCCATAAAAAGGCAGGGGATATTTTAATCAATTGAGCGACTGTCAGCTTCTTGAGAATAACTCTGCTAATGGATTTATTTTTATTATGTAAAAGTACACAATATGGAAGACCTGGGTATAAGAGGCGGATAGGGCAATACTATAAGACGTAATTGGAAATAGGATATGAAGGTGTCGGTTGAATTTGAGGAGCTTCGTTTGAAAATCTTGTTACAGGCAGAAATCAGTTGTCGTGAATTTAGTTGCTTAGCAGAAGTCACACAGTATAATCAGAAATACCTTTTCCATTTTTGTAAATGCTCAACATGTCGAATAGTCTCTGAACAAACGAGATCTGCATTTTGTTCCAGGCACTAGTACTTATGCGACGAAACGTTCTGGGGAAATTCTGTGAAATTCAAGAGCACCCATTGCGAATTGTTTAGTATCTGCTTCTCTCTGTCCTCCTTTTGCTTCGTCTCTCTGATGTTAAGATGTCCTGACCCGGCTACGAGACCTTTGGAATTTTGTGTTGTATTTGTCATTGAACTTGTAATTCCCAACTGCTGTATTTTCTTTTAGTGGAAGTTTTCCAAATTGAATTTCAACTAAATGTGGGAAACAGTTTATGGGGGCCATGGAAATGCCCATTAATGGCCTTATGTAAAGTATGGGACTTCGTAAGCCGATGAATGGCCGATTGCTGTGCAGTCATCTCTCACGTCAAATTTCACCTAAATTTGATTATACGCGTCTTACTGTGGGAAAAAGGGCGCGTCATCTTCAGTTAATGATGTAGAACATTACGTCAACATTAGACAATTACTAGATTCTGTTTGCAACATAGTTCCAATATTAGTACGCCGGTTGGAAATTCAAACATACTTACGCAAGACTTTTCTTTCGTAAAGTTGTCTACACACAATGTATGACGTTCCCTGGTTCGTAGATTGGATGGACTATCAGTTTCATTTTCATTACTTATTTCACTGAGTAATGTGGACTTTTTATGGGTCAGTATGACTAAAATTTGGAATTTTAGGACACCTTTTAGTAAACATTTCCCGTGTCGAATTTAAAAATAACGTGCAGCAAAAGCGCCTGGCACTCGGTCACGGACGGACATCCGGAATTAAATCCACGCTATAATTTTTAGTGCAGACTCAGCAATACCGAATTTAATCGTAATTCGTCCAGTAGTTCAAGAGATGAAGCTTGCGGGCTGACAAGCTCAACCGCCTCCAGTATCAGTTCCTTGTAGTGCAAATCCGCAACGTTTGCCTACAAATCAAAACGTACATAAGTCCGGTTGATTGCCTGTAATACATCGGCTGCTTATTTAATGGTGTTCTTTGCAGAGGTCAGTGTTGCATCAGAAAGTGAACGATGAGTTGATTATGAATGATTTGGGGAGGTTTCGAAATAGTCTAAGGTGGCGTTTCTCAAACTTCCGGCAGCTGCGGACCACTGCCTGGGCCGTCGACGTACTCTCTGCTCGCCCTGCTATCATGACATTTCCTGTATGTAACCTTAAAGAGCATGAATTTGAGTTTTTCTACGAATAAGAGAAAAAGTATAGTTAAAGTTGCCATAAACCACTTTTTATTTACACAGATTTATAGTAAAATTTTACAATCGATTCATCACATTTTTTTATTTAAATTTTTATTTATTGCATATCATAATATTATATGGACTATAATACTGCGGGCCATCTGGTGGACGGCAGTCTGAGAAACGCTGCTCTAAAGTGACTGAAGTCACGAGTGCGATTCTGATGGAACTTCATGGCAGACTGTTCTCTTCCACAGATAACGGTTTTGGCGGAATGAGTCAAGTTGTGGTTGTGGATTCTCCGCCAGCTGAGATCACTTCTGCCAGCATATTCTATATCGCCGTGGGATGCGCATGCGCACTTATAACAGTTATCGTCATCGTGGTCACAGCCTACTACGTTCGCAACAATAAAGCGAGAAGACAAGGCGAAATGTTGCAGTAAGTATATTGTTACGTATCAGTATCGTACTTTGTCTTTCTCTACACCTCCCCCCACGTGTTGAGAGAGCTGAAGGCTCCCAGAGCTGTCAGACACTAAAATAAAGTCATGGGTCTCAGAACTAAGAATCACTGCGCTGGCGAGGGCCAGCAGCAGTTTAGCAGTCACTGACGCCACGTTTGCTCTCTCTTGCTTGTGTTGGTGCCTGCACATGGTTCTCAGAACGTTTTATTTCTCAGGGAATCCCGGAACGGTTCGAGCAGCAGTGCCCAAGGCCACGCGACCTTCCTAACGGCGGACACGCCGCTTCCCAACAACAACTTCACCGGCACCTCGGCCTCCAGCTGCAAGTCCGGGGCGAGCTACGTCAGCTTCAAGAGGCTGCCCAGTTACACTGTCCTGGACGATCGGGCGGGAAAGGACATCCACGAGCGCATCGCTGAGCTCACAATACAGAGGTGAGAAGTAAGCCACTGAAACAGACAGGGAATGACGGTTATGATCGTTACGAAAGCAGCTATTGACAGCCAATGGATGTGCGTGTCACCAAGGCAGAGATCATTATACACGTAATACAATGGGGACGTTGCCCATTATCGCCACAGAACTATTAAGGAGGAAGAACAGCTATTCTCGTTACAGAAACAGACTTGGGTTAACTCTGTGACGCTTGTCAATAGGGTCATTTGTTCGGACTGCACCCTAGTCCGAGAGATAAGGATTTTAGGGTCTCATAGTGTTGGTTGTACAGCGATCTATCTTCTGGGATGTAACTCCGTGTAGGCCATAGGAAGTCAGCTGACGTTTCGGAGGAACGTCTCGCCTCCTCCTTCAGGTCAAAGAATAATCCAAGCAAGTAGCCAGCAGGTAGCAGACAAAGGGCTCTGCCTTTTACCGCGTCAGCAATTTTGCGGCAAGAAAGAAAATATATTCATATTGAATACAATTGGTAATTTAATAATAAAGAAGAATTAATATAAAATATGATGAAGAATAAACAGTTTGGTTTACAATAGGAAAATATGCTTTTAATTGCACCCGGAAGCCCGTGTTACCGGATGTAAAAACATCGCGTGTCATCTTTCAAGAATTAAATTATTTCAGCAAGAAAAATTGCATGTTATCTTGAAATACTAGAAAAGTCAGGCCTTCTTGTTGCTTTAGTGAGAATTCGGACCCTGTTTTGGATAGAGAACATGATGCAGAAGTATGCTGTTTCGCTGAGGTTCGAAACACTTAAGGTGAAGTGAGGGCAAGGATCTGTGCAACCTGTTTCTTCTCGATGCTGTCACCCCCCCCCCAAAGCGGGATGCACACACACCACAAAGAAATAGGCCTACTTTAAATAAGTATATCCATCGTGGAAATTGTTGCAATTAGGCCACACGTCTTTTGACAAGGCTGCTTTGAGGAATATCGTAAATGCTGTATAGAATCAGTTTAAGGTTTAACAAAAGTGAGTCCATAAAAAGCAAACAGTGTGGCAAATTAACACAATAAAAGAACACCCTGCCGTAATGCGTGGAACAGCTGTCGGAGCGAAGCGCGCGGAAGTGACGTGAGAAGGCGTTCTCGAACTGGAAACAAATGCCATGTCAGATGAGCACCTGTTATTAATTTTGGCGAGAATAAGATGACCTTGTGTGCGGAAGTTTCAACACGAAAATAAAAATAAACTCGTCATAGAAGTAGTAGCAACGATAAAATATAATGAATGAAAACAATCATTACGGTCCCTTAGGCTGTGGGCCAATTTGTAGCAGTTGCCTCAGAATAACTCATCTCCACATTCTCCTTACATTATTTTTTGCACTGTCTGGCAGCATAGAATTCCATTCGCGTAGCTGCCAGAATTCTTCGCATAGAACTAGTCAAATATTCTAAATGCTTCTTACGTGCAGGGCTTGATAAGTGCCATGCTGATCACATATTGTCACTGAGTTAGACCACGTGCTTAATCTAACCTGTAGTTGAAACGCTGCCGTATATCTGTTAGTTCGTTTTTGATAAATCTAGCCTGTAGCACATATTGTCCAGAATAAGGCTTTTATGGAACCCGAAGGTTTATTATTTTATTCACAAATACCCGGAACTCCAATAACGTCAAATCTTATATCTCAATGTGTGTTCTTTTTATGGAAAGTTGTCGCCAGTCCCCCGCACAACCCTGTTTGATATCCATGGGATCAACCCTCCATATCTGAAGCACGTGATGTATCACAGATCCACACAACCCTGGGGTACAATGGGGCTGTTCCACCAATTTCACCTTTGAGGCAGTAAAAGCCGAGCAAAAATACTGTCTCAGGAAAATGAACAGTGCACAGAATATAGATAGATTTCATATTTTCTTCCTCCCTTTAGTCAGTGATTCTTTAGAACCTGAGCCCTGTCTCTTAGGTCGACATCTTTTCCGCTGTGTGTTGCATAATCCTGATACAGATACATATTCAGTTGTCTGGAGAAATCACCTTTATGGTTTAATGAGACCTTCAGGAGATAAGAATGGGATCTTATGGGGAGTGCCTGGCGAGTGTGGAGTCGCTTGAATCTTGTTCTGGGTAGGTGTAGTGAGTGTACCGAGACTCGTCGTCTGGAATAGTGCAGACTTGAAAGGAAATCTCCCAGTGCATTCAGGCATTTTAAAAGCATTGGCAAATGCTGCTCCTTTGTTTCGATCTGCAGACAGAAGTTTTCCAAAATGGAATTTGGCTACCCCAGTATTTGGATGCCCTTTTGTAAGTAATCATTTCTTCGTATTTTATTAAATATGCTGGGCATAATATCTATACATTTCCCAGTTAAAATGCATATATACGTACATTATATAACGATGACGTTTTATGTAAAGTAAGTAAAGTAAAGCTATCCCTGTAACAGGCCGTGGGGGCCCATAGGGTTGTGAGACGTTGAGGGTCCCACATTATCTAGACAATCGGCTCAAAAATGGCGATAAGGTTGTCAGCCTTACGCGCCGGCCGCGCTTTTCTCCCCAGGAAAATTATTGACGTTTTATATACTATATGCATTTCATATGTGACTTGGGCATAGTGTAAGTCAAGGGTTATATCGGACCGACTCAAACTAAAGCGAAATTTCATTGTAGTCTTTCCATATGATGCGTCATAGGCGACTTGGGATATAAAATACGGAGATCAAAGGTTGAAGGCAGAAATTTTCATAAATTGGAAAATGTGTCTTGCATATCAGATATGGTAGATGTGCATTTTTCATTCAGGAAATGCTTCGGTTGATGCGCCCCCCTATGTGTTCGTGCCGTTAAATAAACTGGGCCATACAATTTATCACACTTAATGAAATTCATCGATCATATTACTATAGAGGTGTATGGAAGTGTGTACGGTTTTAGCACAGTTTTCAAAGAACTCGAAAGACGAAGTACGGAAGGGAATTGTCAGAGACCTTTCTTTATGTTTTCGGTATGTTACAACGTATTGTGTCATTATGACTAAGCCGGAATAGTGGAGCCGGCGCGGACGCTCATTGCTGAGCAACATTTCAATAAACACATTCTCGAGGTAACGCAGTCAACAGTATAACCCCTTCGTTGCTTAGTAGGAGGCTGCTACGTTTCGTAGCAACGGACAGAACATATAATAATAGAACGAGGGAACTGTTGGAAATGGTGATCTATAATCGGCCCGCATGGAAATTAGTTCAGTCTAGGAGATTCAGTCGCGAGAGATTAGTGAGAGATTCTTCAGAGATTCGTCAGACAGACGTCATTCGGAAGGAGTTTAGTGTGTGAGCTGTTATAATCAACTGTGATTGTAAAAGAAGTGCCATCAGATCCAGAAGACGTTATTATTAGTCACGCCAACCTCGAATACGTTACAATATTATCGAATTTATTTCTAACAGAATATTGGATCTCATTAATTATCTAGTTTCCAGTAATGATTTAAAAACTACTACTACTTTTTTCCCCCCTTTGGCACTACAGCCCCAGTAGGCCTAGGCCTACCTCCATGAACTCCGTTCACTTCGGTTTTTCTAGATCTTACACATACGATAGGACTCCTTGGGCGAGAGATCAGCTCGTCGCAAGGCCTCTACCTGTAGACAAACACAGAAAAACGCACACAAACATCCATGCCCTGAGTGAGATTCGAACCCACGATCCCGGCTTCCGAGCGAGCGAAGACAGTGCATGCTTTAGACCGNGCCGTGCAAGACAGAAATGGTCAGTAATTGTGCAGTGACCCTAAAGGAATTTGTAACTTAATGGATTGAGGGTATTTAGAGCATATTCATCACTGCCCTGAACATGTAGAGGACTGAAAATAAAGAAATTAAATGTGTATTTAATTGTTCTAAGAGACACCTTGAATAGTGTCTTTTAGAGCATAAATAAATAACGGAAGTCCATAAAGTGGAATTGGATAGAAGTGTCGGAATTTTGGCTTTACATGTTTCGGCCATGATTGACAGTCATCAGAGGGCATGTTCTTTGAACATAATTTGTTACTGTAGTGTCATGAAGAGAATTTTTTTTCCTGGCACTACAGCCCCAGTGGGCCTAGGCCTACCTCCATGAACTTCTCCGTTCACTTCGGTTTTTCTAGATCATACACATACGGTAGGACTCCTTGGGCGAGTGATCAGCTCGTTGCAAGGCCTCTACCTGTAGACAAACACAGAAAAACGCACACAAACATGCATGCCCTGAGTGGTATTCGAACCCGCGATCTCGGCTTCCGAAAGAGCGAAGACTGTGCATGCCTTAGACCGCTCGGATACCGTGACCGGCTTATGAAGAGAATTAGTTGTAGAAGTTAAGAGTAAATAGTTAATCCACTTTAAATAAGTTGTGTATATTAAGAGTTACTGGTTGTTAAAACCGGTTAAATCATGTTGAAAAATCATGTGCAGTAGGTAGAAAATTGTAACAGCGGCCTTCGTGTCTGTTATTGGTTATGTAGAATATTTTATCGACTGTTGTATTGTGCGCCTTATTTTCGAATTTATGTGTATAACAACAGTGAAGTACCTGATACATTACCTCGTACTTCACTGGATAAACTGTTGTCACGTGTAGGGGGCACCCATGACGAAAATAACGGGTTCTAGATCGAATGATTGGATTTACTGGCACTTCGGTTGCAAGTTCTGTTGATCACACTCAGTTATAGCGCTATCGCTGTTCTACACACATTCAGGTCACCGTTACACACGCACTAAGATTCTTCGTCTTCACTAGTCGTTTTCTGGCAACGGATCACAACACAGAAACTAGCACTTCAAATCACTATGAAGTCTTCTTGCCATTTCTTTTTCAGTCATCCTGGAACTTTGGAACTCAACTAAAACTCTTTTCCATGAATGCTTAGTGACCTCGAATTACGGCTTCTCAGCCGCGACTACTCACAAACCACCTTTGTTGTCCCCTATAAACCATCGGCACGGACCATGCATAGAACACGCGTTTTATTATTGCAGACATGTTTACAGTTCTGTTGCCTAGCTCTGGGCATGACGGGGACTACATTGAAAACACGTCTTCTGTTGTCAGGATTGTTGCGTAACTTAGCAACGGACTGTTTACCGTTTACCAAGAATCTGTCTTCTCGGGTACTTGTTTATCGAGCCGTTGCCTACCATATCCACCTGTTCCTTGCTATTCTGACTTTTTAGGCAGTGTTTACTTATCCGTTGCTTAGAAACGGCCCGAATGTCACAATATAAAGACAGGCTTAAATGTATGGAAAGCTTGTTACCACTCATTTCAGAATTCCCCATCTGCTCTCAAAAGAAAAAAGATTAAAACATACAGAACTATGATTTTCATGTAGTTTTATATGGGCGTGAAACTTAGTCTCTCGCATTAAGGACAGAATGTAGACTGCGGATGTTTGAGAACAGGATGCTGATGAGAGTATTTGGAAGTTAGAAGAATGAAATAATAGGAGGCTGCAGAAAATTGTCCGAGGAGCTTCATAATTTGCATCCCCTGCTAGATATTGTTATACTGATCAATTCAAGTGGGATGGAATTGGCAGGGAGTGTAGCATGCATGTGACAGATGCACATGAAGCATTGGTAAGGAAACCTGAATGAAAACTGCATTAGGCTGACCTAGGCATGGTTGGGTTGTTCTTAAAGAAAAAGAACAGGAAGGTGTGAACGCTGACTGAGGCTAGGGAACATGGTGGGCTTTTGTTAACACGGTAATAGTAATGAGTCTTTGGATTCCATAAAATGCTAAGATTTTCTGGAGCGGATGAGCAGCTGGAATCTTCTCAAGAATGAGCCAGTTCCATGGAGTTAGTTAATAAACGAACATGAAGAACCAATTACAATGTTTACATTTTGTAGATTATCGTCTTTCAGTGTTTTCCACTGTTACCAGTAATTGATAGAGCTAATAAAAGTGTCTGCATGTTGTGAGTGATCCTCTCATCCTCCGTTTTTATACAGGTGTCGAGTGCGGCTGCGCAGTGTCGTGCTCGAAGGCACCTTTGGCCGTGTGTACCGCGGTACATATACTGAAGAAGAGGGCGTCGAAGAAGACGTTCTGGTTAAGACTGTCACTGGTAGGTAACAGAGAAATTATTCTTACAGTGCCCCTTGTATCACATTCTGCAGAAACAAATAGTCGAGTGGTAGATTCTTAGCTTGTATTTGGGATGTATCTGGTTCTATCTTCTGTGGTACCGAGAATCTCTGGACCGATTTTAATGAAATCTGTGTGGATATTATGCCCATGGAGGTTACTCCAAACTTTTCTAATATCCTTCAGTCAGTAATACCAACGTGCTAGCTCACGAACCTTTGAGGTTGGAGCGACTTGAGCGCTGCATAGTGTAGTTTCAAAATTATGTGTAGTAACATGAAAGAAAAGTACGCAACATTATTTTCAAAATGAGGCAGCAGTATGTCGGTTGTATGAAACCTGTATTTAGATTTCGGCTGGATAGCGATAACTAGTGAACCAGTGGAGTTAGGCATGTGACACCTGGTATGGAGACCAACCATGCATATACCTACCAATGCTACTTTAAATGTTGTCTGAAGTCCATAATTAGAAAAATGGCAACGGTTCGAATCTTTGTGTTATTTGCTACAAATTTACCAGAGAAGAATATAAAGATTATATTCAAAGCCGTAGCTGAACGTAACATTGATAGCGTGCCCGTGAAATCAATTTTTAACAGCTAGGAGCATTCATAATACAAAGATGCAAAGAACGCATGTGGAAATTTTGTACTGCAGTGGGGTTAGATATTTACAGTTTTGTTATCTTATGAGGGATCGTGTCAGTATGTGGATTGCAGCAGACTAATTCGTGTTGCTATTGAGCCCCAAATGTCTGGTGTCACAGTATTGATGGTGTGTGTTATGTAAGTCTACAGGCTGGTAGTATCTGATTAGGGTGTGTGGCATTTACAGATCTTCATGCAAGTTAGAACATAATCAGCGGTGTAAAACCGGGAGATCATGAGGTCGTGGGACAAGCCCATTCCTTGCAGTGTAACTTCCTATAGACCAGTGGTTCCTAAACTGTGTGACGCGCACCATGCTCTAAACCCGAAATCCCAACTGACGAAATTTGTTGTGTCATTACTCACCTTATAAATCCAATAAAAAGAAGTTCAGTTAACATTGATAATGCAATCCACGTGTCTTAAGATTAGGCAGTATTAGTGTTATTTTTAATGAAGCTGACCTCATCACACGGAACAAAATTACGCTTCTGGACATTATCCGTCGCCCTGTTTTCATCTAAAACACCGCCCTGTTTATATTTCAAAACACAACGTTTCGGAGACTGGATTCTGTCTGCGACTTCAGGTAAGACCTACTCAGTCTGACCCAGTCAATAGAGCTAGTCCCTATCTCCGAAGTATCCAGTCTCCGAAACTTTGTGTTTTGACCTGTAAACAGGACTTTGTTGTTACTCGTAGATAAAGACAGGACGATGGATAATGTCCAAAAATATTAATATCGTCACTAACTTTAAGATCTTATTCAATCTTACGGATATCGGCGTGATTTTTGGTGGCTCTTGTTGAAATGGGGCAAAGAAATTCAAAACGCACGCGTTAGGCCTCTGCTTATTACAAACTCCTTTGGTCTCAGGTCATTAGTAAAATCTGAGACAGTAAGGGGCGTAACTTACAGAGCAGCCTACATCTCTGCTGGAAATTCCTAGTGATATATCGTGAAGTTTGAAGCGTTGTCTCCTCCTGAATTCTGGATTTATGTAAAAAGAGAAGACGTGCAATAGTCACAACTAACCACCAAGGTGTTACTACTTTTGGAATGACATCTGTGTTGGAAAGTAACCAGCAATGACAGCAATTACATCGAAATACGCCCTCAGCTTGAACGTGACCTACTGGTTCCTGTATCGACGATTCAACTGGGGACGAAACAGCTAGACCCGAACATGCAGACCGATGCATCCCACTCAGTAAGTACGGTAAATCTTCATACTGCGAGTTTCTAGGTTTAGCGTAGGGGAGGATTTCCTTGGTAGGGCACTGGGGAAGTGTAGGATCAAGTTTAATGGGAAATCAATATGATGTATGCTCATTTTCACTTATAGCAATATCAAAGAATCCCTTCCCCCATCCCCGCCATTGATGGTTGGTGTAAAACAGTGTATCGCGCGCGAAATGGTGGCGCCTGAAAGCAGTTTGTCTTCGTACAGCTCGATTCTAGTTCAGCGGTCCAGTTATGAGACAGCCGGGCGCGTGTTTACACTACTCATCGAAAATGAATGAGCCAATAATGTGACTCGATCAAAAGTTATCCCTGTTCTTAATTAATTAGGCCGCACCACAGCTCAAGCGGATAGTCTCTGGCTCCCCACCGCGGCGGCCCGGGTTCGATCCCGGGGTCTGGTAAGGTGGGATTTGTGGTGGACAAAGTGGCGCTGGGGCGGGTTTTCTCCGAGTACTTCGGTTTCTCCTGCCAATTGCTTCACAATCACCCTCACCTATCATCTGGGGTTGGTAAAATAGGCCAGAAGTGGCCGCAGTACAAGAGACTTAGTCCCACCCCACTAGCCTTAAAATAAAAATTAATTAATTAAGCATTACGCCCTGAAGACTTATGGGGGAGTGGAAGCATAGCTCCACGCATTCATAACTTCAATATTAGATGGGAGTGGTCAGCTTTATCCCGGGTAAACAGCCCCCCTTCCCCGGTGGTCATTGTTTAGGGGGCTGGGTGGTAACATTTTTTTTTCCTTGGCACTACAGCCCCAGTGGGCCTAGGCCTACCGCCATGAACTTCTCCGTTCACTTCGGGTTTTCTAGATCTTACACATTCGGTAGGACTCCTTGGGCGAGTGATCAGCTCGTCGCAAGGCCTCTACCTGTACACAAAACAGGAAAACGCACACACACAAACTAAACATCCATGCCCTCAGTGGGATTCGAACCCACGATCCAAGTTTCCAAGCGAGCGAAGACAGTACATGCCTTAGACCGCTCGGCCACCGTGACCGGTGGGTGGTCACATAGAAGAGAAAAATCGCTTGCCCTTGCCAGGAATGATCCCCGGCTCCTTGGTCGTCCAGCCCGCAGCCCTGTCGCTATACCGGCTGAGACGTCTCGGCTCATGTATCACATCATAGCACATATTAATATCTTGAATGTCTTCATCGACTTCCTGCGAGTTCTGGCATCCCAGGATGTGCACGTTTGGCAGTTGACTTCAGTAACTCGCTCTTGGAAGTAGGCCTCATGGACATGGTTTAGAGTGTTAATGGTGAAAGCCTCTTGCTTTGCTGCTTTTCTGGGGACTCATCTGTACCAGTTCGACTTTGTACCTAGGCATAATGATCTGCTTGACACGTGGATTTTCTAGGGCTGCGTAGGTAGGCAAACCGCACATGTTGGACGTTTACGGAGACAGATTCCTGACTTTTTTTGTAACATGCTGCGATGTCTGCAGGAACATATGTTTTTATCGTCTGATGGTTGGCTGACACCGGGAGTGGGCCGATTGCATCCCGGAAACACATCAGGCTGGTAAGCAGCGATGTGTAAGAACTATGAATAGCATGGACCTTTATCAGTATATATTTGCTCACGCATAATATAGAAGTACTGATAATTGTAAAGGTAAAACCATCCCTGTAACAGGCCGTGAAGGCCCTTAGGATTGTGAGACGTCGAGGTTCCCATATTTTCTAGACAATCTTCTCACAGATGGCGTTGAAGTTGTTAGCTTTACGCGCCGGTCGCCCTTTACCTCCCAGCAAGATTCCTGTTACTCATGTCTGTTAGAGGCTGAATCGGTAGCATAGTTGATTGAGGCACTGTGCTACCTGCCCAAAGATCGCGGGTTTGAGTTCCGATGAGTTGAGTTTTTCCTTTCAGTTTACCTGATCCTTCCAGCCGCACTGTGGCCTTGGGGTCGACTGATAATTGTAATAAATAAAAATGTATTGCTCTGTAAGCAACCATGTGCTGGCTCGCCAGGACTCTCGCCTGCTGCAGTGCCATGGATATGTGAATATGGCGCAATGGTGGATTGATGATTAAGAAAGGGAAGTCGAACACACAGGAGAACCAGTTTCAGTGCCATTTTGACCTCCATGAATCTCACATGAAGTCTGTTGAGATTCAACTGGGGCTTCTATGCTGAAAAGCCGTCATCTAAGAACCTGAGCTGTGGGAAGTCATCAATCATCATGAATAAATTAATGAGCAGATGTCGGTAAATGATTAGGTAGCATCGAAATGTTCAGGTGTTTACGAGACAGCTGGTATTTTCATTCATTGAACCAACAACTGGGTATAAGAAAATCCAGTGGAGCCCAATTCGGATTCGGTTTAATGCACATCATAAATATCTTGAGATAATTTAATCAGAATTCAGAATTTGTCTGAATTAATTATTAATAATGTTATATTTGCGTTTTCTCTTATGTTTATTAACATATGTCCATTCAGTATGAACTATTTGTAGGTAGTTATCAGTTTCCACGTGAATCTTGTAGGTTCGTGGTCATTTCTAAATGTCCCCACATGGCTTAGTCCACAACACTGTCTCCTGTTCACCTGACTGCAGTCCCTTCACACGGTGGTCATGAGTTTTGAGTCCGCAAGTTGCAAGGTCTGTCACTCCGAGGAAAGGTGCCTGGAACGAAGTGCTGGAAAGAACGTTTGATCTAAAGAGGAGCAACTAACCGAAGACTGAGAAAACTTCAGAACATAACAAGTAATAAGGGGTTCAATAATTTGTACTGTTCATCAGATATTACTAGATGGACGATTACTAAATTAAGTCGGATATTATTATTATTATTATTATTATTATTATTATTATTATTATTATTATTATTATTATTATTTAGTGGGATGAAGCGTGAAGCTGACCACTTACTTGCAACTAGTACCGAGTTAAGAATATGTGTATCTTCACCTCCAATCCCGACATAGTGCTGCAGTACAAGGGCAACCTTGTGAAAGGCGACACATTGCTTTGAAGGAACTGAAAGGAATAACGATATACAGACTCCAGCCAGTCAGTCGTGCCACCAAGATCCACAGGAACCGCTCTCAGACAAATATTGTAC